TGAACCAATAATAATATTATTAATCTATATACTCGTATACGAGTATAAAATTACTTGCTCTGTCTGACTGATTCATCACCGCAGAGCCTGGACCACTGAAGCTGCATACTTGAAATTTATGCAGCTGATGCTTTTTAATGCGATTGCTGTGCTGAGGTCTCGGGTTACATGCCCGGGTTGGACCAAATGTTTGTATGACCTGCAAATATTTGTTTCGAAGTTTGGGTGTTTTCTGTGTATAATTTATATGTATTTAAAAAACTATAAGTATTCTATCCGTCAATCTAGCTTTCATAATACAAGCTCTGTTTAGTTTGAAACTAAATGGCGTTGTTTCAGATGTCCGAATTATTATTGTTATGAATGTTGATCCACTAAAAAATGATTTTTAAAAATATAACCCCTAAGGGGATAAAATACGGAATGGACGTTTGTACGGGAGTTCGTCATTTTCAAAGTTGGAAACACGTAATAATCAGTCAAGCGAATAGCAATAATTTTAACAGGCCGTTGGTCTATTAGTGGTCCTGATTTCTGAGTGACGAACTGACAGATGGTTATGTGATAAACACGATAATTTGTCTGGTTTCCATTTATCTATACATATTGTATAAATATGTACGTCGATCCAAGTAGGCCAGTTTTAGGTCAAGCACCTTATGTTAATCTCACCCTAATTTTGCTTTTTGTTTCGTCCTGTCTAAAAACGATTACATTGCCAAGTGGAGGTTGGCGTCAGGCACGTGGCTGATCATTCAAAATTCAGTCAAAACGGTACATATTGCGTCACAAAGGGGAAAGGGAAAAGAACAGGAAAATGTAGCGTAATACAGGCCGTATCTCGTTTGGGATTAGACGGCCTAGACTGAGGTCCTTAAGTTTAACTATTAGCATTAGTAAACATTTCATTGCACCCGAATACATTTTTTAAATTAATTGTAATTTTTCTTTTAAACAAGCAAACAATTACTACGAAACACCAAAGTACTCACCGAGACAAAACAAATGAACATAAACTCCACTAGTTTATTTTATTTAGTTTCTAGAAGTTCCTGAGGGGCTCGTGGCTAAGTAGTAACCGAGTAGGTGAACACATTGCAAAGTTAAGCAATCCTAGCCAGGTCTGTCTATGGATGTGTGACCATTCTTCACACATCGAGTCTCCTCCGTGCCCACGTTAAGCCGTTGGTCCCGGTTGACAAAGGAACATCTGTGGCAACCATTACGGGTAGTTAGAGTACTACCGTAATAAGTCCTACAATAGTCTTCTACAGAACTTCCATATCGCCTAGTACTTGATATTTAAGTAATATTATGTTTAGTTCAGACATAATATTTCAGACATCTGACACACAACGCCATCTAGTTTCAAACTAAGCAGAGCTTGTACTATGAAAGCTAGGATTGACTGATAGAATACTTATATACTTTTTCTTTTGTCAATACATACATATTATACATAGAAAACACCCAAACTCCGAAACAAATATTTGCAGAGCATACAAATATTTGGTCCGACCCAGGAATCGAACCCGAGGCCTCAAAACAGCAGTCGCACCACGCTACCACTGAGCCACCGAGGCAGTCATACTTAGCCTAGTACTTGAGTTGTGAAGATCTGACGGCTGTCGCTCCACGTAAAAAATCCAAGTTAAGCAGTTTCGTAGTAGACTTAAGGCGAACACTAACCTAGTTTGGGAAAAAGGCTCGGAGGAAGTTAAGTTCCTATGGCCGTTAGGGCTCCATCATCAGAATAGCTCCATGGTACCATATTATCGTATTGTCATTAAAGATACATGTGTACATCAAATTGCAGCCCAATCAGACATCGGAAAGTGGTTCGGTTCTCATTTAACTGCCAAGATGAACTGACGTTGATGGGGTGAACTGACGATGAATAAATGTTTACAGTTTATGATAAAATTAATAATAAGCCTTTTTATTCTGAACTTCTAAGTTGAGTGTGAGTGCTAAACTTGTCCTTCTTTGATATAGTATGTCCCGAAGCTCAGTTTGCCTTTTGGCATGGGCCTCCTTTAACAATTTCCATTGGGATCTGTCACGCGCTACCCTTCCCCAGAGGTGTCCAGCCGTGAGTTCTAGGTCTTCTCATCTTGTTTGTTGGCGTCCTCTACTTCTCTTGCCATCTCTAGGAAACCAGTCAGCAACAATTTTGAACGATTTCTCTTGTGGATCACGTATCATGTGACCTGTCCATCTCCATTTTATTGGGTCTATCCTGGTTATTGTGATTAAATTACTTTATATCAAATTGATGATTGCTTCATCATTAATATAATTTATTGTTTACTGCAGTTCAAAGCTGTCAATCATAAATCAATAGTTGAGACAAATGGCCTGTCGAGACGCTTATCTGTGCACAAATATGACGACTAAGACGTGACACATCACACCTAAAACCATACTGGGCAATTGCTCGAAGTCTAAAAGAAAAAAAATAAACTTTACATTCCTCGTTTGTAAGCTCAAAATGAGAAACGAAAAAGTGTTTTTATAAGCAGTTGTTGCTTGACCCTCTTGAATGGATCATGGACGACCCTAAAGATTAAAAAAAAACACATACTGATAATATCACACAGGCGAAATGCCCAAATAACAGCTAACCGTGGGCTACAGATTGTTACTATATTATAATTATATACAGGCTGTTAGGGACGTCGTAACGAATACTGAAATTGTTTAAAAAATCATTGGAATTTTCTTTTCTTTTTCCAATGATTTTAGACTCAGAATGATGGTCTGAATACACTATTCCAGTATTCGTTACGACTTCCCTTACTCCCTGTATGTATTAATATGATACAAATTATGCATATCAATTAATTGTATTTTTAGACCCATAAATTTACGGTATATGAAATACCCGACTAAGAGTCTATAAATGCGAAGCAGCTAGATGGTACAAAGATGTCTACGGGTGCTGTATAACGGTGTGAAGGTTTCCACTTAAACCGTGCAAGGGCATTGCGCGGTGCCAGGATGCGTGAATTCTTAGCGACCTTCCTCTGCTCTTTTGGACAAGTTCCATTCCAACAATGGAAAGTAATCCCTTAAGCAACATACCCTTGCAGTACTCACATTTACAAATTCACAGATTTACCGATCAAGAATACCTACCTATGTAATTATATATATATATAAGAGATGAATCTCACCAAAACAATGTTAATGTCAAATAGCACGGAGAAGATAATATCACCCGACAATGAAATACTAAAATACACGAGTAAATACTTGAGTTTGGCTTGGCACTTGGGCAAAAAAAAATCAGCTTCGAAAAAGAGAGCAACTTCTCAGATATCGAAAGAATTATCCAACAAACTTAGAACAAATATTGGAGCCTGAAAGAAATTTTTAAAAGCCCCATGCAAGTCAAAATCAAAACTAAAGTGATGTCGAGCTGCGTCTTATCGTGCCTAACATATACTTGTCAAACCTGGAAGAATACATCCAAAGTAAAGAAAAAAATTACCTCATGTCAACGTTTGCGAAAAACCCTCGGATACCGCCCACCGGTGACTATGTCGGACTCGACCCGACCGAAAACCGCACGCCGTCTCGGGTACCAGTAGCCGGGGTACCAGTACCCTAGAAAGGAAATCCCTTGTACATAATAATATGTCAATGGTGCCTAGAGGGAGGAGCGCTAAAAATTGAAAAAATCCAAAAAAATACGACACACAAAAGAAACACAACTAAAGCGACAGATGCTCTATCATATGTCCTAAAACTGAAATGGACATGTGGACTAGAAGAGTGACACTGTGGAGGGGTTCTTGCAGAATTATTGTACAAAGTCGCAAAAATATCTCCCGAGGGAATAAATCACTATGTTCAGAGCAAGACAAGTTATCGTAAAACTTGGCTTAGAAGATAATGTATTGCAAGAAAATCTTGACATCGACATCTAGAAAACGATTGCAATAGTACAACGTCATCTATCGAGCATTAGAGGCACAAATAAATAATGTATTATCGTTAAAAAGTTTTAAACTAAATACTTAGACTAAACAATGACATAGCATAAGTATTATATGTAGTAGGTTTAAGTTCACTAGCTTGTAATTTTGCATGAAAATAAAAGGCTTTTAATTAAATAATTGTAATTGTATATTGTGTATGTTTTTATGGTATACAATGAAGAATATTGTATAGTATCATGAACAAGTTCCCTTGATAAAAAGGTATCTAAAACAATAGAAACGAAACGCAAGTACAAAATTTATTTCTGTTCTTATCATTGTATGCCCGAGCTGCATCAAAGTGCATTTGTATGTGAATGCTGTAGCCGATAGGCCAAAAACATTCGATCTTGTTGACTTTAACCAATATCACGTGGGTATTATGAAGTCAGTGACCCTCTATTATCTGCAAATCAAAATTATAATCTTAATAACCACGATTTTGTCAAATTATTAGCATACATTGTCACTTTATCCGTGTGGTGACGGATTAAGAATACAGAGTGTCACCACCCCTATTCATCCCATGGGTGTCGTAGGAGGCGACTAAGGGAGCAAAATGCGCAGAACAACAGCACTGCAGAGAGAAGGAAAACTTGACACAAACCCTATACCAACCCGTCTGGCCAGCGTGGTGTAGTAGGCCAAAACCTCCTTTCTAAGGAGAGGCCTATGTCCAACAGTGGACTGTTAAAGGCTGTTGATGTTGATTGTCACTTTTGTTCAAAATATCGAACGCCTAGTATATACAAAACGAGTCATGGGTTTCTTTCAGCTAAGTATTTTGGTATTCCCTAACAGGATGTGAAGGAAGTTCATATTCCGGTCACAGTGTAAAATAATTGATTGACATTTCGTAATAATGATGCAGCTGCCCAGCAGGTTGTAGTACTGTACTTCACAATGTTAACTTCTCTGTGACGTGGGCTTGAGTCGCGCCACGGGAGTGTTACGTCTATAAAAGGTTGAGGATGTACAGGTTTGCGTGCAGTGTTGTATCTTCACTTCGACATAAACATGAAGCTCTTTGTAAGTTTTTATTGTTGTTTTTTGTTTTATACCACCTAATTCGTTAATTAGATTCAAATAAAAAACAATTTATATCACAAAAATAGTTTTAAACAAAAAGTATATTTTTAATTCTTTAATTACAATACAATTACTGGGGTGACATTTTTACCACGTTTAATCTACCTCAAAATTTTAAACTAGACACTAGACAGAAAGCTAAATTTTTCGTGAGAAATTTGCATGAAATTTGCATGAAAATAAAAGGCTTTTAATTAAATAATTATAGTTGTATATTGTGTATGTTTTTATGGTGCACAATGAAGAATATTGTATCGTATCTTGAACAAGTTCCCTTGATAAAAAGGTATCTAAAACAATAGGAACGAAACGAAAGTACAAAATTAACTTGTATCTACACCATTAAACTTTGCACTTTATTACTGCACTTAAGAAAATATTTATTTCTTTTTTATTATTATTGTGTGCCCGCGCTGCATCAAAGTGCATTTGTATGTGAAGCCGTAGGCGATAGGCCGGTATGGCGATCATAATCACTTATAATCACACTTTAATAAGTTGTTATTGCTAATGGGCGTGTAATTAATCACAGATGAAGTAGTAAGTAGTAACATATATATGTGTGAACGCTATGATTGATCTCCGATATTTATCCAATAACAGCGTGTTAAGTTGACTGCACGGATGGCGTAATGGTTTAAGCGTTCGCCACGCCGATTCCCACTGCGCTGTGTTGTGGGTTCGATCCTTACAATTTAATGTTCTGATTACATATTGTGCAGAAACGGACCAAGAAAGCAGAAATATTTTTGTGTAAAAGCACAAGTAAAGCGAGAAGTTTAACAGTTTTTTTTTTGTTTTTTTTTTTTTAAAGACAACGCCCGCATTAGGAATATACATTCCTGTGTCGCGGGGGACTTTACAAACATACATGAAATGGACACAAAGAACACCCAGACTCAGAACAACAATTAGGAGAACACAGTAGTAGGAAGTGGCGTGGAGACCACTTAAACCACTACGCCATCCGTGCAGTCATTCATTTTAATACGAGGCCTGTTAGGAGATACCATATTAGGATCATAATTGAGTAGTCCATGTTGTTTAATGTAGTGTGATAAATAAAAAGTTACCGAACCGTCAAAACTTAACACGTCCGGTATAAACACCGTGTAGGGTAAAGTAGCGGGAGGACATGGTGTTCCCACACGGGAGGGGTCGTCTACCTGTTGTTGTAGATGGCCCGAGGTATGTCGGGGCACCAGGAACTTCCTTTCTAGGGTATACCTGGTTCCCCGGCTATTAGTACCCGAGACGGCGTGCGGTTTTAGTCGGTTCGTGTCCGACATGCCACCGAGAGGTGGTATCCGAGGGGATTTCCGCACGGAAAAAAAAAGGGTAAAGTAGCGGACACACACACACGTACACACCTTAAGTACTGCTCTTTGAGCGCTCTCTAATGGCATGAGAATATATTTAGAGGTTCCCCCCGAGATGTATACAGTAGTCCAGTATTGATTCACAGATAGCAGTGTAGATTCGCTTTAACATAACATCGGGCCAGTAATGTGACGGAGATTTTTAAATACATAAAGTAGCTTCCTAACACGTGAGCTCAACAGTTCTACATGGAGTTTAAAGTTTAGGTTGTTATCTATAATTATTCCAAGATACTTTATGTGGTTTGTCCGTGTAGTAACGGATTAAGAATACGGAATATCACTACCCCTATTCATCCCGAGGGTGTCGTAAGAGCCGACTAAGGGCGCTAAACAACGCAGGACACCAGCACTGTAAAAAGAAGGAAAACTTGACACAAACCCTATACCAACCCGTCTGGCCAGCTTGGTATAGTAGGCCAAAACCTACTTTCTAAGTAGAGGTCTATGTCCAGCAGTGGACTATTAAAGGCTGATGATGTGATGATGTGTGATGATTATGTGGTTGGTTCGCTATAAGGGGTCACAGGAACATGATTCTGAGTTTAAGCAAGAGCAAAAAACTGCGTGATGTTTGGCTAATTAATGGAAGATAATTGTTGTATTAACATACTTGTCATTTATTATCATTTTATGTAAATTTTTCATACGGTTTAAAAATAAAGTTTCAAATCATTTCCTTATACACATACATAAAACTTTATTTTTGGTGTTAATGTATCTGTGACGCAAATTGGTACGGGGTGTGAAGTCTCTCTTCGTTAAAAGTGCTGCGATTTCGTGATAGTAAAGGGTATATTATATTTGGTTTTTTCGCATTGAGGGTCAAATAGTTGCCGAAGCCAAGTGGAGACCGAATTTAATCCATTTTGAGCCCTATTAAAAACTTCCTGCCAAGTGCTTGCTGAGAAAAGTAGCATACATCAGCAATAGTAGTATTCATCAGCATATGCTATGATCTTTCCATTGAATGGTTTTTTTTATTTCATCATAAGCTATACTATACATTTCTACCGCGTGTGGTCAAATTTTAAATACATTTTGTGAAGACCAATTTTAATTTTTTTTATTTTAATTTTAATTTGCATTTTTTTTTTTTGATATTCGATTCAATTTGAAAAAAAATATATTCTTAATAAAATAGGAAACAAACATATTCTTACATAGTCTTAGTATCTACCATAAAAATCTAAAATAAAAACATATTTCTTCTAAATGTTTCTTAGTAATAATTGTAAGCAAGTTAATACTAACTAAACACTATATTAAAGTCATGACTTTAGTTGAAATAAGTTTTCATTACATTAAATAATCACACTTAAATATGTTTCCATAACATTATCAATTAAAAACAACTCAAGTACAAAACAAGTTATCCAAGTTAATTGACCACTTAATTAAAAGACTCGTCACATTACTCGACATGATGAATATTCAAGATGACAGTTGATCATAAATAAATTGGGTGAAGGACGCCTTTAATGTTGTATCCCCTTCACCAGCCATAATGGCCAGCCGCAAGGAGGCGATGTCCGCGTGAGTCTGGACGTCGCCTAAATATTTATTTAAACCCGCGCTATTGCGGGCAGGCGCTAGCATTAGTAGGAGCCAGGATGTCTTAATAACCACTGTTCCTGGATCCCTCCTATTTCAAACCCAGAGTGGCACACCGTATGGTTTTAGTCGGTTCGATTCCAGCATAACAGGCTTACACGGCTGGACATTAGCCTCTTCTTAGAAAGGAGGTTTGACCTACAATAGGTTTCAGGCTAGCCAGACTAGTTGGTATAGGGTTTGTCTAAAGTTTTCCTTCTCTTTGCAGTGCTGTTGTTCTGCGTAGTTTTCTCCCTTAGTCGGCTCTTACGACACCCATAGAATGAATAGGGATTGTGACACTTCATGTTCTTAATCCGTAACTACACGGACTAAAGTAATTGGTACGATCATTTATTCTGTGTCTGGGTGTAATTTGTCTATAACGTGTATGTGAGTAGATAACGTAATCGTGAAGACCACAACTGAAAGTGGAATCCTCGCCCGGCCATCGATTGATTGAGATTGATACAAATTTGCTCCTAGAAGCATGTGAACTCCACAGGAGGCTTGAGTGCTTCTAGAAGGAGCTTGGTTGGCTCACCTAACCATCCTTCCCTCGACGCATAAAGGACCATTCGAGTCCAATACCAATAATAAATAAATAAAAATAAATAAACTTTTATTTCAGGTATCAATCAATTAATCAGGTATTAATACATCGCATCTTAATACACATTCATTCATAATATAATTATTGACATTATTATCATACTAATAAATTAATTTACAAATTACCAAGATTAAAATTAAATCCTTAGCGACATTTCCATCATCATAACACATAACATAAACTAAACAGACGAGACAATAGATATTATATTTATTCATTATATTATTATTATTCAGTTTAATGTTATTATTATTATTATAATTAATTCACTATCTTCACTGTACATTTTGCAATTCAATTTAACTCGTCCACCACCAATGTTTAAACAAATTTAAAGTGCATACCCCCTTTTTGTTTTTTTTTTTCCGTGCGGAAATCCCCCCGGATACCACCTATCGGTGGCATGTCGGACTCGAACTGACTAAAACCGCACGCCGTCGCGGGTACTAATAGCCGGGGAACTAGGTATACCCTAGAAAGGAAGTCCCTGGTGCCCCGACATACCACGGGCCATCTACAGACGAGTAGACGCCTCCCCCCCTCCCCCGTGTGGGAACCCCATGTTCCCTCTGCTCTCTGGAAGCGAGCGCGCTTCGCAACGCGCTCGCCGCCACCCCGGCCTGCTTCTGCTAGGGTGACAGATGGCCTCACCTGTCACCCCCAGGCCTGCGCTTATGGAGGACGGAGGTCGTTCTGCGACCTCCGGCGCCTGAGTCGCCTGCGGTACCTGGCCCGTTCCCGGGCCTGGCGGGCCGGGAGAGTTCTAAGCCTCTCCCGGTCCCGCTCCGCCGTCTCCTTCGCGAGCATAACTTGCTCGCAGAAGGAAGTGCATACCCCCCTTGCTATTGTAAGTGCCTGCAACAGCAATGTCACAATACTGTGTATGTATTTAGTATTAAGTACATGAATATGTTTAGCAGTAATCTAGTTACAATAGCACAGATTTTGTCTAGTTCTCGATCAGACGTACGAACACACCCTATACGTAACAAATTAAAGTGTATCTGAATATATATTTTTGTCCCCCGTCACATACTTTAGTCTTTAATGACAATGGGACAATGCAAGTGAGTGGCTACCACCACACCCACATCAATGATGAAGCACGCAAGCTGCGACCTTGCCTTGTTCACATCCTCGACCACTTATTACAACTTACGATGCTTACAACATCTATAGGATTGTGGCGAGTGATGCTCTCAACTAAAACCACAGAAATGTTCGCGGAAAAGCTGTTTATTGTTGTAGTAAGATTATTTACCTCTTTACGTATGAAATAACCTACTTTGGAATAGAATATAGTTTTGATAGCGTTAAGTAATGAAACCTAAAAGTTTATTCCAAAAGTCTCGATCACATCTTTATTATACTCCTTTCTTGTCTGATATATTTTTTTATTTATAAGTTTCCGCAGTATATCGCATAAAAGTAATTCCCTAAAGTCACTCGGGTAGTACTCAACGCCCTGCTGACGATTGCGGTTACATTCCATTGTGTCTCTACATATGACATTGTTGTTTCAATTGATGGCTCTCTCATCTCTGCTCTTCGAATTGAGCCGGAGCCCCTGTGCCGCGTGTCAGTGTAGTCATCATGAACCACGTTCTCGATTACACTTTTCTACACGACTAAGCACATGTCCTGTGGTGGTTACGGTGGTTACAGGTCGTACGGAAAAGGTTTTATCGAGAACGTTGTTTTTGCACCGTTTAACTTTAATTTTGCGATTAACTTTAAAATACATTACATTTCAACTACTATATTTTTATGTATAAAATGAGAAACAAGGAACTTCAATTCAAAGGTGTCTATGAGTTACTAATTATTGTAATCACCAAGGGGTAGAAAAATAACTTTTATGCGAATGATACCGCAAGGAAAAGCCAGTAGGCACTAAATAATTGAAGAGATTATAACAACAAGACGTGCTAACATCTGATCATCAAGATCATAAAATATTGCACATAGTCACTTTTAGTGTTCAATTAATATTTAAATAATATCATTCGGGCGACATAACTTATAATAACTAGGCATTAATTGAAAATATCATTAAATGCAAAATGTGGATAAAACAGAATATGCGTTAAGTATATGAACTCGCTTGACATTTACTTACATAAACCTACTAATAAAGTTAAGTTACAAATAAGTTAGGCAATTATCATCAATTGTCTGGAAAAAATAAATTGTAAAGACGAGACACGATATTTTGAAGGAATACTTGGTAAAGTATTAGTTACTTAGTAATCCAAAGTTATTACACGTCCGTCATCATCCTGCCCTCCAACCAATTGTATTCTTGGTCAGTGAAATGTGTAACATTACAAAAGGTTTTGACTGTTTTCTTTGGTGCCCACACCAACCATTCTTGGGAATTTAAACGTTCAAACAGGACAAAGCAAGCGGGTTAATTGGGTAAGAAAAACGGTTAGGGCGAGTGAGCTATGGTTTAGAACGGGAGAAAGCTAACTGAAAGTGCAGTTTACAGTAGCTCTGAGAGGCTTGTGTCGTGTTGTGTATTTCTATTCTGTGATTAGAGACGCCCATAGGACTATACTCCTTCACTATAGCTACTTACAAAAATATACCAACCCGTCTGCCAGTGTGGTTTAGTAGGCCAAAACCTCCTTTCTAAGGAGAGGCCTATGTACAGCGGTCGACAAATAAAGTCTGTTGATGTGATATGTGACAAAAACATAAGCTAAACAATCGATATTTTTATGAAAAAGGGTTGCAAACGAGCAGACGTGCCCCCTGATGGTAAGTGATTACCACTGCACATGGATACCTGCTACTTAAAGAGCGTTGCCGCTCTTTCAGTCCTTCCCCCCAGAATAACGGAGAGGGTTTGGGCTCCGCAAACCTCCTGTCCTGTCCTGTATACAGGTTGTCCCCGTCAAGAACACCCGGTGATTGTCTTCAACATAAAATCACAACTTATTGGTAATTTAATGACCACCAGCCGATATTACTCGAACGGTGTGAACATAAACAATGATTTATTGATCGTAATTATTTAATGCCATCGCATAGTAGCTACGGTCGTTGCTCAACGCATCCTAATTACGAGCTATGGTTATAAGCCATATATGGTCCTTATAACATATTCGCATTCACTTTAATATCTGATCATATATATATATATATGATCCGATATTGATGACTGCACGGATGGCGTAGTGGTTTAAGTGGATACGTCGAGTGTTGTGGGTTCCAACCCCACATGGGACGACACTTTGTGTGATCCACAAATTGTTGTTCTGAGTCTGGGTGTTCTTTGTGTCCGTTTCATGTATGTTTGTAAAGTCCCCCGCGACACAGGATATATTCCTAATGCGGGAGTTGCCTTTAAAAAAAAAACAAAATATATATATATATATATATATACATATAGGTATAGTTAGTTCACATCAAGTAGAAGGCACAAAATTAAAGGCTTGATATTCTGCCATTTTATTCATTCAGTTAAAGGGTTTGGACCTTACTGCAACAGCCAGTTGTGGTTATAGGTTTGCGGCTCTGACCCGTTTGAGATGTTGCTATCTATCCATTTGTAATGGTCTCTTTCCCACCTTTAACTACTTTTCTTGCCAAAATACTCTGCCGTTTCTATCTAATGAAGTGCCCTTTTTACGATAATAATCTTTGGCCCCTACTACGTTAGTGGGGCAAAAATTTAGGCGTTTAATATGATTCTCTTTGCCCCCGACGTTTTAATTGTGTAATTTGTGAAACATTTATATTTGGTCTCTGTCACCGGAGCTTCTCTTGCGTGTATATAGTTTCGTGGAACCCTAATTATTCTTACTTTTCCTAAATTTAAATTAGCCTAAGTAATGGAATCATTTACTAGTTAAGCCGTATAACATTAGCTATCTGTCGGTGAAAATCTATTGAATTAAAAAATTGAGATCCTATTTTTTCTAAACATACGAGTAAACTTACTCCTAATAGTATTAGCTATCTGCTAGTGAAAACTCCGTGAAAATCGGTAAAACCATATTAGCAAAACAGACAGGAAAAATTTGAAAATATGGGTTGTATGTTACCGTAATAAACCCAATCATAAACACACACTCAATAAAAAACTGAGTTTTTAAAGTGACACACAGACATTTCAACTTTATTTACGAGTATTAGTTAACGGTTGTGCTTATTAACTAAGTGTCACGAACTTAAGTGGTAACATGTTTGACGTTTATTGCTCATTAACTTGTGGACAGTGCCTAGTTCTTCTGTTTACACATCACATTATTTGTTAAAGTCGATTAGTCATTAGTCATTGTTAAGTGTTAACATATACATACGAGTACATTATGTAATTACCTAACACGTTTGTTGAGCTCCGAATTCTATGTTTAACACCTTCTAGAATTTATTACTCGATTTATTTTGTCTAAACGATTTGTTTACCATCTTAATTTATTTAAAGATTTGGACGTTGTAACATATGTATGTTAAACACGCTAGTACCCGCGACTTCGTTAGCGCGCCTTAGTGGTGTAGTACGGTACGCGACTACAGTCCATAGGGCCTCGGGTTCGATTCCCGGACCGGGCACAATTTTATAGAGTTTTTCCGAGAGGAAAACTAGCCTAAGTTACTCCTTATATAGACAGCTACCTGGTAGTCAAATATTTTTGAAATCGGTAAAGCCCTTTTGTAGATTACCCGGAACAGACAGACAGTCAAAAAATTTTTAAACTGGTTTAAAAGTATCTTGAAAATAACCGTGTAAGCATGAAAAAGACTATTGTTTTGACATTACAAACAGACACTTCAATTTCATTTATATGTATAGATTTCAGAATGATGAATAGGATTAATAGTTATACAGGTAAATTAGCTTGGAGAAATTTTTGCGTTTGTAGTAGTGTATAGTGTATGGTAGCGTAAACTGGTTTATTCTGGTTTTGTGCGTGTTTCCACTTTCCACTATCAAGTGACGATTTTTTGCTTTAGATTGAAATATCTCGGAAACGGTGCGTCCTAGGCCAAAAATAACAAAAATTTTGACCCCCCCGTAGACCCCCCCGGAGTTTTAAAAACCTAGATGAAAGAAAAAAAAAAATTTTAAATATCGGTCTCTCCTCTTTGAAGTTTCACTTCTATCGTGTGTGAATCGCACACACACCTTTATTTTTTATAAAGTCAAAACCTTTTTCTTTAAAATAAAAACTTGTTTTTATTGAAAACAAAAATCAGAGTGTTGCTAGGGATAAGTATAAAATTAAATAGTACCTAATGTTAGGATATCGAAACATTTTTGTATAGGCCAGAACGATATAGTGGAAACGCGCTCTAAGATCTGAGTAATATACACACCACTACATATGCAAAAATTTCTCGAGACTAATTTCACTGTAGTAAGAATGTGTCTTTCAGTTAACAATCATCAGCCTGGCCGTCCTGCTGGCGGTTGCCTCTGCCGGCCATATAAGAAGCGGTTGGTCCTATCCCTCCGGATGGGGCGGCGGCAGCGGCTGGGGCGGCGGCAGCGGCTGGAGCGGCGGTAGTGGCTGGGGCGGCGGTAGAGGCTGGGGCGGCTCCTACCCGAGCGGCGGGTACGGCAACGGTGGATGGGGATACGGCAGAAACGGCTGGAGTGGCAGATCCGGTGGATGGAACTATGGAGGCAGCGGCGGCGGCTGGTGGTAGACACGCGAACAATTACACACAAGTATATTAAGTTTATATTGATTATAAGCGTGTTTTCAATTTAATAAAACTACTGTAAATGAAATAAATCAAATATATGTATATATACTGAAATACCCTCTATTTATTTTATTCATGTAATGTTAGTATTACCATGAAACTGTGACAATAGAGTACAATTTTTCTGAATTAAATATTAATATTGACTATATAAAATAATTATTATAGTAAGATGATAATCAGTTAGAATGTTTACAAATTTAACATTGTGTTATTTTGTTTAAGATTTTCTAAACAAATATATTATTTTACATATGCTTGTTAAAAAAGTTTATTTCTGGTTTAGTTTATTCACCAACAGCCTTTAATAGTCCACTTCTGGACATAAGTTTCTCCTGAGAAATGAGGTTATGGCCTACTGTACCTCGCTGGCCAGACGGGTTGGTATAAGGTTTGTGTCAAGTTTTCCTTCTCCTTGCAGTGCTGTTGTCCTGCGTAGTTTGATCCCTTAGTAAGCTCTTACGGGATAAATAGGGATGATGACACTCCGTATTCTTAATCCGTCACCACATGAACTTAATTAAACGTGAACCAAATGTACATTTTTTTTTCGGTTTTCGTACTCCTTACAAGTAAGTAATTAGTAGTAGGACAAACAGATGGAAATAGAGGAACTACTTTTTTAATAGTTCCACTATTTCCATCCGTTTTGTCCACTCGTCTGTCCGTGGCTTAGCTGTAATAAATTGGTATAAGTCCCAAAATTACGAGTATTAATTGGAGAGGACCAGGTCCAGCAGTGGACAGCTTCAAAACTAGGGTTGTTACTTAACCTGCACATAATGAATAATTCTTGCAGAAACAGAGACGTTCTTTAAAAACTAGTTTTCGGTTTAGAGAGAGTGCGTATTATCACACTTTAAAGTTCTACTCTGTGTTACACTCATGTATAAGCCCCTACAAGCAACAGTAAACTAAGGTTAACTATTTATTTAGAAAGAAAAGTGGCACAGCTGAGTCAGCTCTGTTTCAGAGTATTAATCACCCGAGTTATTAAGAGTACTTACTTATTTCGAAAATTTCGTACAAAATATAAAATGAACATCGGATTGACCCTGGATTGAGCAAAGCCCGAAACGCTTTTGGCCTGTTTTTATTTACAACTACTGAATTTTCATCATCATCATCATCATCATTATGCTGATTTATACTATTAGTAATTAATGTATAAAATATTGTGACAATAGTAGACTAAAACTGCATAAATATTAACTAGCTTTTATGGTAGGAAAACGAATTATTGCAAAAGTGTGACCAAGTTCCAAGCCTAAAACTTAATCACGCCTTTGTAATAATTGAGTGTCAGATCAAATAATAACACTGGTTTAAATAACTCACACTCATTTGAGATTTGACTGGTGGTGCAACTGGGACTGAATACCGTCAGCAATAACAAACGCAGAATACAAAGCCATTGACATATGTTATGACAACATTGTACATATGTTTATATTGTAATGAGGGAGAATTAAACATTAATATTATTATTATTATACGTTATGCCTGACCATAGGTCTGTGAAACAGATCTAAGAAGAGGAGATCGACTATTTTATTAACTCAATGTTAATTAGTTCATACATTCTTACGTCTTATACAAGGAAGAAGGGTTAGATAGAAGCGTATAAAACGCCCAAATTTTGCCGCATATAATTATAGGCATTAAGGGTTTTCGATACTTTTTCAGCCACCAGACGGCGCTTTGTATGCGTCAAGTCCAAACAGCTGTCAGATACCACAGATTCTTACCGAACATATATTTTTTTAGTGAAATTCTATGAATTTGGAAGTGTTATTGAGTTTATTATGGATTACGGCAAGAGAAAGGTTGCCGAACTGAAGATTGAGCTCAAAAAGAGAAGCGCAAAAGTCACTGATACTAAAGAACAAATGTTTTGTGTCCATCTACCTTAACCCCAAACAAATGTGAATAAGATATAAAATAGATTTAGAGTAGTATTAATTCAAATAGTTTATTATTATTATTAAGTATACTCTTCTTTAGTTAGTTTTTTTTTTTCTCGTTTGATTGTAATTAGTTTACTACTTTTTACACTACTACATTACAGTAAATGCAATGTACACCTTAATTGTCATACATATCAGGTATAATGCCACGTATTGTCAAAACTAGTTATAAGTATAATATGTATGATGTGGTAGTACTTATTAATAAATAAATAAATAAATATACTTATATTCTCCTGTATTATTTGCACAAATAGGCACTGCACAACACTGTGGCATTTTAGAAAACCATATTGCTTTTGTAACGTTTTTAATGAATAAACTAAAAAAAATGATCGAAATATACAAATCGTGTATGTGTTTTGACAGGTGGTTGGACCTTACGCTACAGTGCTGCCATCTCACGTGGAACATTTCAGAAAACCCTCATTGCCGTGGTATTGAAAGAAAAGGTAATAGTAATTGCTTATAAGAGTTGATTGGGAAGTATAAGTAATCTCACGAGCAGGTCAAGGTCAGTTACAGGTAACTGCAAATAGAAAATCATAAGCTATTATTACAATAAAATAATTAGAGGGGAATGGCGCTGATAATCGATGCTACATTCGTTGTTTTTTTTTTACTATTAACAACTTATTTGTAATTTAGTAAGGTCTTTTGGAAAATAAAAAAATATTTATTTTTTAATTATAACTCGAACCGGCCGTTGGCGGCAATCTCCAGCCTTTTTACGTATAATATATGAAATGGTGGGTATACATATATGTATAAATGCTACTTTATAGATATGTGGTAGATTCACAAGACCCTTGTCTTGTGAATCTACTAGTCAAGATAAAGTTGGTCGCCAACAACATTTAGTTCGTCTTGTGCAAAACTACACGGCATGTTGCATTCCCGAACACATCATTTCATAACTATTTTTAACGCACAAATACTAGATGTTAATAACTTGCTAAAATTGCTAATATTGCTTTAGGCAAATAAGGGTATTCCGTGGGCCAGTCAAGCTTCTTCACATATGGCCTATGGACCAGGTCGACTGTAGTGTTACCACGGCCTCACAGAAAACCGGTGTAAACCAATTCTTTCGTTGCATTGAAAATTCACTTGAAGTCCTCCACCTCCTAGTGTTTAAGCCAGAGCTTTGAGTTTAATAATGTCGAACAATATAATAAACCTCCTTTCTAAGGAGAGGCCTATGTCCAGCAGTGGACTGTTAAGGGCTGTTGATGATGATGATGAATATAATAAACTGTTAAAATAGTATCGCCGACTTTAATGTGACTACATCATGATGAATAGTAACTAACGGTGTTTTTAATTCCTTAATTTTCAGCCTTAAGGGTGGATTTTTTCTACTTTGAATAGGATGAAACGAGAATATTATAATATTTTTGGACATCTAATACACAACGCCATCTAGTTTCAAACTAAGCAGAGCTTTTCCTATGAAAGATAGATTGACTGATAGAATGCTTATTTTAATAATTTTGTAATAACATACATATTATACATAGAAAACACCCAGACTCCAAAACAATTTTTTGCAGATCATACGAACATTTGGTACGACCCGGGAATCGAACCCGAGACCTCAGCAGTCGCATAACTGTTTAGGTAAAAAAGAACTTTCTAAATCGATTTATGAACCAATTTGAAAAAATCTCGATTTGGATTCGTTCACCAAAAGAAAAAAATAAAATACAGCTAATTTGAGAACCTCCTCCGTTTTGGAAGTAATTAGAAAATACATAAATGGCGACTCACATCATCAGCCTTTAATAGTCCACTGCTGGACATAGGCCTCTTCTTAAAAAGGAGGTTTTGGCCTACTACACCACGCTGGCCAGACGGGTTGGTATAGGGTTTGTGTCAAGTTTTCCTTCTTTTTGCAGTGCTGGTGTCCTGCGTTGTTTTGCGCCCTTAGTCGGCTCTTACGACACCCACGGGATGAATTGGGGTAGTGACATTCCGTATTCTTAATCCGTCACTACACGGACTATGGCGACTACTGTAGGTAAAGCCTGTAATATCCTATAATGTAAAGCCTATACTCTACCTATATAGGTACTAATAGTATGTGTAAAAATACAGAGATGGTGGAGTTCGGCACCGATTGGGCTCAAATTTTCACACGATTTACAACACGCTTTGAAGATTGTTTTTGTCTGTTTATCGTGAGTGTATTGTGCCTCGTTTCTCATCAATGCAACCACAGTGTGCCACATCAGAACATGTCGGGGTAAAACTAGTATCCTATAATGTCATTAGCTGTATAGCTTTTTTTATGGCATAAGGAGGTTAACGAGCAGACGGGTCACCTGATGGTAAGCAACTACGGCCGCCTATGGACACCTGCAACTTAAAAATCACAAGTGCGTTGTTGCCCTTGGAGTACCTCCCGCTCGAGTCTGCGGGATTTGGGCTCCGGTACTTCACACCGGTACTACACTTACTCAGTAAAAGGCAACGAAAGATTTGCTTAACACCGGTTTTCTGTGAGGCCGTGCTATCACTCCGGTTGAGCCGGCCCATTCTCACCGAAGCATGGCTCTCCCACGGTAAAAAAAAATTTGGAACGCTTCTCGATTTTGTGTGTCATCCTTGTCAATCAACACGTTACTGATCAAAGGTTACAAACCTTAAAATAATTATACCTTCACTATAATACCTTTAAAAACCACTGTAACCGTCTATAATTTAAAACCAATAAAATTTTATATCAACAAATTTTATTCATTTAATCATAAACAATACATATATCGATAAAAACACTGGTGATGGCCTGGTTAAAAGCTAATCTGCTATCACTGAATGTGAATAAATCTGCATACATCCCATTTTCAATGCGCCCGGTTGGTGGGCCTCCAGACATATTTGGAATCACTGCTCATTCTTGTACAAATCCACTACTGTCTTGCTCCTGTGTGCCACTAACAAAATCAGATACTGTAAAGTATTTGGGTGTTC